TCAATTCACACAAAAACATTATAAAAGAGGCGAAAATTTTTACTTTAATGGCATTCATGAGAGATATACTGTTTTGCATTTGGGTTACAATTGATACCAAAAAGACAGACTTAATGGTATTTATGAACTTTTAAAATTAAAATAACTTATTATATGAATTATACTTATACCAATATAAAATATATAATTTTTGTTTTTTATGTTTACAGCCAAAAGCCCAGACTCGACTTAATTTTTATAAAGTCCTTAAAAAGCGTATTCTTCGAGAATATTCTTGTTTTAATGAATAAATAGTTTAATTTATCATTTATTTAAAAATTATTTACAGAGTATCTGGTATTATTTAATTACCGTAATGTGTTTATATAATATGTCACATCATTACATTGATAGAAATCTTTCAATTGAAATATATTTTAGATTTCCAAATAAAAATCTGATTATGCTGGATAAACAAATTGATTTCAAAAATATTGAATAATTTATTAAAATTCAGTATAATTAAAATATTTCAAATAATTATGACATATATTTATTCAGTGACATTTCTAACTATAAATATAAAGCAATTCATTCAAAACAATTATATCTAATATTTGGGAAAATAAATTTAAATCTAAATATTATTCCTATTTTAAATTAATTGCATAAATATGTATTCGAAATTAGCCTTGATTGTTTTCGTGGGCTGCCTAATCCCTGAAATTAAATGCCTTGCTCCATGTTGGGATCTTACTAATAATACGTCAGGTGTCTCATTACTTTGTGGTATGTCCTTACTTTCATTTTGGTTATAAGGTTTAATTTATTTTATTGAAAATGTTTCTAGCCGATTGCAAGGATGCTACTGGTGCTAAAGCGGTGGCAAACTTCAAACCCTGTTTTATCCAAACAGATTATGGGAAGGGCTTGTATGAGGTGGCTGATAAAAACAAGTCTAAAGGGTTTGACAATTGTGCGATTGAGCTTGCTAAAGTCCTCAAAGGTAAGAAAAATCCTGATGAGAAAGATGTCAAGAAAATGCAGGAATGTAACAATGAACTCATGAAATCAAAGGAAGCTATTTTGAAATGCTAATTAAACCTGCTGAATAATTAAATTAAATTAATGCTGTAGAGATACAGCTTAATAGACTGTTTACGATTATATAATTATTAATTGATCTATATTTTACTTTTGCTAAATTAAATGTTTTTCTATTGATTAACTTGTAATTATCAATGAGTTTTGTAAACTTTATTTCATTTTTAAATAATATAAAACTTGAATTATTTTTTATAGATTTAAAATATAATTACCCTAATTATTTCTATTGCCAAAAGTGTAATAAATTAATTATTTTTAAAAAATAAAATCCAATATATTATACCATACGGAGTTCAATACTGTACATTGTTTTTAAAATAACAACATTTAAAATTTATTATTAATTACTAATATATAAAATGCTCGTAATTTAAAGTTATCTTATCATAGATTTTTAAATGTTATAATTATAACAAATTCATCACAAGGTTTAGAGTTTTCTTGTATAACATGTAGAAAATGTTATCAATGTTTAAAATGAAATAAAACGTTCACCTTGATGACATATTTTACTATGATTTAAACATAAATCTTACGGGTATAAATTATTTTTTCAAATTATGAAAAAATTATTTATTATTATGTTTCTAATTATAATCTTTATAATTGAGCTACTAGCATGTTTCAATTAGAAACTTTAATTGTCTAAATGGGGAACATCGTTTCCTGTCAGTAAATTATGCAATTAGAATGGGTATTAAAACAAACTATATGTCCCTAACGACAAATTGAATTTATCAAAATCGGCCAATATCATGAGTTAGTCCCGTAAATCCAGTTATAAACACATTGACATAGTTATTTTACACATAAGAATAACATTATTTCTATAACATTATATTTAGTACTTTTAAATATGAATTATACGCACATATTTTCCGTAAACCCAACGACACTTTGTTTGTTATTTGACGGTTCATTGCCGTTAGAGTGTTCATGAAGTTCCGTCCATAGAAATAATGCTATTTCTATGTGTAAAATCACTATGTCAATGTGTTTATAACTGGATTTATGGGACTAA